AGGAAGGGGGAGGGGAGGGGGTAGGAAGGGCGGCAGGAAGAAGGAAGGTGCCGAGCCCCGCGCCCCCAGCCCGGCGCGCGCAGCCCGCCTCCCCGCCCCCGGGGTCCGCCGCCGCCCCCGCCCCCGCCCCCGCCGCGGCTCGGGGCGCACCTTGCGCTTGCGGGCCTCGGCCGTGCCGCTCCACACGAAGCACTGGTAGATGGCCCGCAGGTTCTGCTTCCAGTTGTCCACCTTGAAGCTGCCCAGGTGCGAGCAGCCCGGCGGCGTCACCACCAGCTCCGCGTCCATGGCCTCGCTGTCCGGCTCGGGCCGGGAGCCCATGGGCGGCAGGGCCCGCCCGCGCGCGGGGGGCGGCGAGGGCGGCGAGGACGACGCCAGCGCGGCGGGGACTGCTCGCTGCGCGCCCGGCCGGCCGGGGACGGGCCGGCGGACAAAGCCGGGCTGCGCGGACGCGGAGGGAGCGGCCGGCCAGGCGCGCCCGCGCTGCGCTCGCCCGGGGCGGGGGGCGGGGGCGGGGCGGAGGCCGCCGGCGCGGCTACGTCACCCGCGGCCGCACTGCGCAGGCTCTGGCCGCCCCGAGCCCCCGCGGGCGGCGAGGGGTGGGGCTAGCGAGGGCCCGCCCCTGCGCCCGCGCCATTGGTTGCCTGCCGGCCGCGGCGCCGGCAGCAGTTGTCATTGGCTACCAGGACAGTCCGTCTGGTTCGGGGCCGCCTCCGGGGACGCTGGCCGCTCGACGTTCACGGTCTCCCACCAGCTGGGAAAGGGGGGCGCGCGGAGGATTGGGTGACGCGGGCTGTCCGTCAGGGCACCGAACCGGTTTGCACCGGCCCGAGCTCTACTGCAAAGAGGCGGAGCCACAGGCGGGGCCGCTCGAGGCCCTGCAGTGTCGCCGGGTCTCGGCGTCCGCCCCAAGCCCCCGCCTGTGCTCTCTGGCCGGCGGCGCCGCGCTGGGTGTCTGTCCGCCCCGTTGGCCACGGGAGCCCGGCTCTGGGACTGCGGGTCTCTCCGGCCCGCGTACCCGGTCCCGCGCTGCAGCGCCAGCGTCGTGCGCCGCGGCCGCCACTACCTGCTTCGCGCTGCTTCGAGGAAGCGGGCTGAGCGTGGGTCCCTGCACCCCGGGAGGCGGCGTCCCCCGAGGGCCTAACCCAGCGCCCTCCAAAGAAATAGGACTCGAGAGCGTGTCTAATTTTAAATTTTCTGATAGCTACATTTTTAAAAATGAAAAACTAGTGAAATTAATAACATACTTTAATCCAATATATCATCTCAACATGTAAGCAATATTGTAAAATTATTAAATGAAATGTTTTACAGTTTTTGAATGAGTTCTTCGAAATATGGCATTTTACCCTTAACAGCACATCCAATTCCTGCCAGCCATGTTGGAAGTGCTAGTGGCTTCCATATTGGACAGGAGGGGTCTGATAGGTACGGAGGTGACGGAGCCAGGGCGGGGAATAAAGAACATGCAAACAGTGCCTGGGGGAGGAAAGGCCCGAAGGATGTGGGAAAACGGAGGCAGCGTGGTGCTGCTCGCCTGCGCCACTGCAAACTGCTTTGCTGCCTTCCAGCACAGGTTGAGACGGGGCAGTTGCTGGCGAGGCCAGTCCAGAGCTATCACAAGTTAAAAAATAAAGACAATCTCCAGCAATTAAAGACGCGGGGCTTAATGAGCAGAGGACTGAGACAAAGCGCTTGTCTTTAGGAAAAATTGCCAAGCACACTTGGGCCTCAGGCCTTGGTGCTTGTTGTCCCCTCTGCCTATAACTTGTTCTACCCCGTATTCCACGGCTTAGACTCCCTAACCTCCTCAGGTCTGGTCAGGCACGGCCTTCTCAATGGGGCTCCCCTTGCCACCCTATTGAAAATTCCAACCCCCCAAATTCTCCATCTTCTTACCCTGCTTTATTTTTCTCCAAAGAATCTGTTTATTTTTTATTGTCTCTTCCTCAGTAGCGTGAAAACTCTATGAGGGTAATGATTTTTGTGTGTTTTATTACCTTCCATATCCACCAGTCCCCAGAGTAGTAGTGGCTACATGCAAGGTCTCAAAAATTAATATTGAATTAGCTAATTAATTAACCCAAACAAACTTTTTTTTAAGATTTTTTTTCCTTTTTCTCCCCAAAGCCCCCCAGTCCATAGCTGTATATTCTTCGTTGTGGGTCCGTCTAGTTGTGGCATGTGGGACGCTGCCTCAGCATGGCCTGATGAGTGGAGCCACGTCCGCACCCAGGATTCGAACCAACGAAACACTGGGCCGCCTGCAGCGGAGCTGGCGAACTTAACCACTCGGCCACGGGGCCAGCCCCCAAAACAAACTTTTACAGAAGAATCGAACAAGATGATTCTCAGAATAAAACACTGGTTAAGTAAGGCACACTATGGATATGTTAAAGAAAAGAATGTCAGTTTAATAAAAGGTGAGATCATAAATGGTCAATAAGTTAGGAATTACAAATTATGTTATTTGCATCTATATATATTACATATGATGACTATTCCAATATCACTGGGCTTATAGATATGGTTTGGTTTCAAGAATCTGTACTTAGCATTCCAGACCCCTAGTATCTATCAGTGAAGTTTTTCATCCACATGGTCATTAACCATGAAAGGATTTCTGTGCTCGCTACTTGAGTAATAGATAATCACTTACAACACTCTGGAATCATAACAGCCTTATACGTAAATAAAATGTGGGATATATCCTGAAGAGGATACGATCCCCAAAAGAGACATGGACAAAGCTGCTTAGTACTATATATATATTTTTTTAATTGCTCAGACACAAAATCTTTTTTTAAATTGAGGTAATATTGGTTTATAACATTGTGTAATTTCAGGTGTACATTATTATTTATCAGTTTCTGTATAGACTGCATCGTGCTCACCACCAATAGTTTAATTTTATCCATCACCATATAGATGTGCCCCTTTACCCCTTTCACCCACCCCCTCAACCCCTTTCCCCTCTGGTAACCACTAATCTGTTCACTTTATCCATGTTTTTATCTTCCACATATGAGTTAAATCATACACTGTTTGTCTCTCTCTGGCTGGCTTATGTCGCTTAACATAATACCCTCAAGGTCCATCCATGTTGTTGCAATTGGGACCATTTTGTCTATTTTTATGGCTGAGTAGTATTCCATTGTGTGTGTGTGTGTGTGTGTGTGTATACTACATCTTTTGTATCCAGTCATCAGTCAGTGGGCACTTGGGTTGCTTCCTCCTCTTGGCTATTGTGACTAATGCTGCAGTGAACATGGGGAAGCATAAATCTCTTTGAATTGTTGATTTCAGCTTCTTTGGATAAATACCGAGTAGAGGGATAGCTGGATTATATGGTATTTATATTTTTAATGTTTTGAGGACTCTCCATACTGTTTTCCATAGTGGTTGCACCAGTTTGCATTTCCACCAGCAGTGTACGAGGGTTCCCGTTTCTCTGCATCCTCTCCAAAATTTGTTTTGTTTCTTTGTTTGTTTGTTGAGGAAGATCAGCCCTGAGCTAACATCTGCCGCCAAGCCTCCTCTTTTTGCTGAGGAAGATTGGCCCTGAGCTAACATCCATGCCCATCTTCCTCTACTTTGCATGTGGGATGCCACCATAGCATGGCTTGTCAAGCAGTGTGTAGGACTGCTCCCAGGATCTGAACTAGTGAACCCCAGGCTGCTGAAGCGGAACGTGCAAAGATAACTGCTGCACCACTGGGTGGGCCCCAAAATTTGTTATTTTTTGTCTTGGTAATTATAGTCATTCTGACAGGTGTCAGGCGATAGCTCGTTGTAGTTTTGATTTGCATTTCCCTAATAATTAGTGATATTGAATGTCTTTTCATATGTTTGTTGGCCATCTGTATATCCTCATTGGAAAAATGTCTGTTCATATACTCCGCCTATTTTTTGATTGGGTTATTTGGGTTTTTTGCCATTGAATTGTGTGAGTTCTTATATATTTTGGAAATTACTCCCATGTTAGATATATGACTTGCAACTGTTTTCTACCAGTTGGTGGGTTGTCTTTCCGTTTTGTTGATGGTTTCCTTTGCCTTGTAGAAGCTCCTTAGTCTGGTGTAGTCCTATTTGTTTATTTTTTCTTTTGTTTCCCATGTCTCAGTAGCCATGGTATTCAAAAAGATGCTGCTAAGACCAATGCCAAAGAGTGTACTGCCTATGTTTTCTTCTAGGAGTTTTATGGTTTCAGGTCTTACCTTCAAGTCTTTGGTGCACTTTGAGTTAATTTTTGTGTATGGAGAAAGACCCACTGGTTTTTCAGTAGTAAGTTGTTTGGTCTCCACATATTTGTGACTTTCCCAGCTTTTTTCTTGTAGTTGATTTCTAGTTTCATACCATTGTGGTTGGAGAAGATGCTTGATATGATTTCAATCTTCTTAAATTTGTTGAGGCTTGCCTTGTTTCCCAACATATGGTCTATCTTTGAGAATGTCCCAGTGCACTAGAGAAGAATGTGTATTCTGCTATTTAGGGATAGAATGTTCTATATATATCTATTAAGTCCATCTGCTAAAGAGTTTCATTTAAATCCACTATTTCCTTGTTGACTTTCTGTCTGGATGGTGTATCCATTGATATAAGTAAGTAGGGTGTTAAGGTCCCCTACTATTATTGTGTTGCTGTTAATTTCTCTCTTTAGGTCTGTTAATACTTGCTTTGTATACTTTGCTGCTCCTGTGTTAGGTGCATAGATATTTAGAAGTGTTATGTCTTCTTGGTGGAGTGTGCCTTTTGATCATTATACTGCTCTGCTTTGTCTCTCACTGCCTTTTTTATCTTGAAGTCTGCTTTGTCTAAGTATGGCAACACCTGCTTTCTTTTGCTTGCTGTTTGCTTGGTGTATTCACTTCCATCCTTTCGCTCTTAGCCTGTGTTTGTCTTTAGAACTGAGATGTGTTTCCAGGAAACAGCATATTGTTGGGTCTTGTTTTTTCGTTTGATTGTTTTTTGAGGAACATTAGCCCTGCGCTTCTGCTGCCAATCCTCCTCTGTTTGCTGAGGAAGACTGGCCCTGAGCTAACATCCATGCCCATCTTCCTCTATTCTATATGTGGGATGCCTACCACAGCATGGCTTGCCAAGCAGTGCCATGTCTACATGTGGGATCTGAACCAGCGAACCCTGGGCCACCAAAGAGGAAAGTGCAAACTTAACTGCTATGCCACCAGCCCAGTCCCTGTGTCTTGTTTTTTAATCCATTATAACACTCTATGTCTTTTTTTTTTTTAAGATTTTATTTTTCCTTTTTCTCCCCAAAACCCCCGGTACATAGTTGCATATTTTTAGTTGTAGGTCCTTCTAGTTGTGCAATGTGGGATGCCACCTCAGCATCGCTCGATGAGCGGTGCCATGTCTGTGCCCAGGACCCAAACCGGTGAAACACTGGGCCA